AAAAAACAGCATAAATTCCCTAAAAGTGACCCGATCATGCTGATTTTCGAACTTGACCTGCGTATTATGAATATTCATCAGTTCTGCAAGTTTCAAGTCAAAAGATAAAATGGTTTTCCACTTATCGTGTTATCGGTAAAAGTGCACGGCGACGACGGCGACGACAGACGCAGATGATGGCTATATGTACAGACACATCTGTGTCTGTACATAACAAAAACAGTCTTACTCGAAGTTGTTTCATAACAGTTTCAAACTTACTAGTAAGCTGGCACTTAGCTTGCATTCAAGGTATGGAAAATTTAAGCAAAAAACTTCATAAATTCTTATTTGGCCAAAAAAGGTGTAAAATACTGTATCATTTTTTGTCACAAGTCTTAAGTTCAAAATATTCATTTGTCTCAAATCATCCAGATATATTCTAGCAAGAGTTTTATCCAAGAGTGACTGCTGTTAGGGACAGCACTGAACAACATGATTGTATAATGCTTGTACACTTAAGTGGTAAGAAACAACAAATATCATTATTATCATTATTTGCTTTCATAACCAATATTAATAAAGATAATTAAATAATGCTTGACAGGAATACTTGGTCCGCAGACCTTAAAATTTAAAGTGATGTTCTGTAGTAATTGCACCAATGCATGAAAATATGTTGTTTCTTACCATCAAAATGATCAACACAGCTTGAAACTTACTCTGTGAACTTGATGATTGCCTCACATAAACCCACATCTTTGATCTTCTTATCTAACTCAGTGTTTGGTGGATAATAGTACAATATCTTCTTTTCTTCCTGGGAAGATCAAAGATTGGTAAATCATGCAGTACTCAGGTAATAATATATTCAGATGGCTTAAATTGCTGGACAAAATAATTTACTAATCTTTTTATTGTGTTCCAAGTATACCACATCAAGGGTTCTTAAAATAAAATACAGATATACGGCACAAACTAATTAAATTAAACTGAAGAGAGCATAAATTAAACTGAAGAGGAGGTGGAGTGAAACATCAACATGAAAAGGGTGTCAGATTACGCGTCTTGCTGGTTTACCTCTCCTTCTCTTGGTCCATACTCAGAATTAAAAACAAAGAAATTGACTAGAGACACTGGTGTCTTTTCTGGAGACTTCCCCGTCATGTCCAACTTGTTAGAAACAGCGTAAACTTTACATCTATTTTTTATCTTAATTTCGAAAAAATATTTGACTGGAAGCTGACATCTTGAATCTCGCGAGATCTCGTGCATATTAGGTTCCAAACTTCAAAGAGGAAGATCAAGTGAGGTTGGGTAAAACTTCATTATCTCTCTCGAAAAAAAGGTGCTTGAATGAAGTAATTGTAATTATTAGTAGGACTATATTTCTCAAATGGTATGACGTGTGATGTAATATGTGTGAATGTTAAATTTTAATTGCGTTCTCTGACTGCTGTTTGCTAGAGAGCTCATCAAGGTCTACACAAGTTGTTTTCATGCCCTTGCACTTTTCATATTTGTATGGAATACCATACAAGGTGTTTATGTTAAACTGGAGTATATGAGAGACCCCTGTACTTTTAAAAACGCTGTGTTTTATTTACACTTTTTCTTAGGTATTTTAGAAAAAAATCGGAATGTGCCAGACAAACACAAGTTACATGTATATCTTCTGAAAGGTCTTTTTAAGCAAAATGTTTTTTTTGGAATTCAGAAATTATCTTACAAGCTTGTAAGGCAAAAAACTGAGGCAAGTGACCTGTAGGCAAACCATGCACTGCTGATGCAGGACAGGATTGACAGTGGTCACAGGTGCCTCTAGTCACTGTAGTGCATTCTGATAATATACTAGTACACCTTATTTGCTGGCCTTTTTACGTTTGCCTTTTAAATTTTCAGAATGATGCCCCAGATCAGTAATTTCTTTGCTAAGTGAAAATTGCAGGGACTTTATGTTATATTTCATGCAAAACAAATTTAAGCAAAGACCCCCCTCCACCCCTCCCCCAATATCGTTGGCATATAACAAAATGATATATTTGAATACGGGTTATCAATATCCATGGTTTTGCAGTATTCACACACATATATTTTGGTAGTTACCACACTCGGCTGTCACCTTGAATGGATAGTAAACGATTGTCGTAAAATCGCTATATGATCAGGGTGCATAAATTTGAAAACCACCTAGAACAACCTTAGACTGCCACATTAATCTAATACAATCAAAAATACCCTATCAAAAGTGGCCAAAGCATTCAAACCAAAGTCTCCATATACCCCATAGAGACAATAAAATAGAGTAAGCTTGTGAAACAATATTCCAGAAATTTAAAGATAATAATCCAATTAAAATAGTGCCAGGCGTCGGAGCGGCCTCTAATTTACTCCCTAATTTCTTTTAATTTAAAAGAGAAAAATGAAATAGATTTTTAGATTCTTTGTGAAACTGCCCGAGATAACCAAGTTAGCAGTCTACTCTAAGAACAGTGTGATTTTCTACTTACTAGTAAGCCATTTTGTGAAATGGGTTCCAATACTAAAATTACCATTCCCTGCTTCAGCAGCCCAAGCACCATCTTCAATAATATAATGCCTATTGTCATGGACTCAACCTCTCCCGGTCTCAATATGGCCCATGGGTTTGTGAGGCATATTCAGCAGTGTCAGATGGAAAGAAAACTCTATGAACAGAGTCTGTCTGATAGAAAGTTGCAGGAACAAAATGCAGCACAGCAGCAGCAAAATGAGTTTGGGAAGTCTGCACTGAAAAGATCTGCTACAGAGAACAAACAGAAACAAAGACCAGATCTCCCTTTGTATCAGCCTCCAGGTATTTGTATAGACCCCATTCAGAATGAGAAGATATAAGTGCTAACTGGTCCATGGCTTAAATATGGCAGACCTACATGAAAGGTAGACCGCTTAATCCTGTAATGGTCTCTCTGCCTCTCACACACCTTCCCATCCCATGTCCCCCATGCAGGGGCACAGTAATAAAATCTCGACTCCATTCAACCAGACGCGTGGGGAGGCGTGTGAGAGGCGGAGAGAGCATTACAGGATTAAGGGTCTGCCATATTTGATCCTTGGACCAGTTGATACTCGGATCTTCTATTCTGAATGGTCCCTAAGATACTCTGTTTTAAGTAAAGTTTTAAGCAAAGGTTCCTTGTGAAAGCTGTCACAATGTTATTTCTGTGATATCCAAGTTGCTAAAATGTTTTTTTTTTTAATCAAAGAAGGGAGGGTTGAGTCTAGTAGACAGTCTGCTGTGTTTGTTTTCTTCTAATTGTTCTTTTTTATTATCACAACTCGACATTATTGTAGAAGTCTGAAATGTAAAATGATTAAATGAATAACTTTTATGAATAAATCTGTTGCCTTTTTATTTAAAAGTTAAAAGTTAAAATTATATTCAATTATATTAATTTTATACTTGTCAGTATTGTAAGTACTATGTTATTTCATTACATAGTGTTTTTTCCCCAAGTTGAAATTTTGCTTTTCTGCATATTATAAAATACTTGGTCCATGATATTCTCATTTTTGTAATTTTGTACTGCTATTAAGAAGTTCTGCTTCTTACAAACTTGTATATAAAATACGTTGAAAATGATAATTGACATTCAAATATTCCAGAAAAGTTTATAGTATTGCTCAGTGTACATACAGGGTAAGCTTTTAAAATGGTTATATCCTCCAGGTCTGCGTTTCCGTCTGAACAGTACCAGTAGTACTAGTACCTGCTGCACCAGTGACCTGCACATCATGAATGAGGAGGTGTCATCAGAGGAGGTGGATTTACCAAGATATATTGAGGAAATGCAGGGAAACATAGCCAAAGCATTAAAAAGTAAGGTTGGGTTCAGTCTGTGAGAAATTACACACTTAGGATGGTTGACAGAAAGGTCTCCACAATCTGAAGATTTTTTATTGAATGGTTTAATTGGTCAGAATGTTTTTTTTTTTTTTTCAAATACATTCTATTTTTGAAATAAAGTATCCATGTTTTCTGTCACTGAATGAAAAATTATATGCATGCGTAGGTAATCAACTAGAAAAGTTGATTCATTTTTGTCTGAAGAAACAAATGCCCAATTTTGACTTTCATTAATTTTTTATAAGTGGGGGAAATTACTGTAACAGTGGAATTCAAACATAAGGTCTGGCTGCTACTGTATGTTTTTTATCTTTCCATTAAAAAATTGAATTTCTTGAATAAATTAATAATTTATAAAAAACATTAAATGTAAGGAAGTGCAAATAATTAAAATGGAAATGAAACTGAACTTTGAATTTACTGCACCTAGAAATAAAGCTAGTAAATTTTAAGGAGAAAGGACTTTCATAATGTATGTGCCCTAACTCTGGAACAGCTTACTTGCTAAAATTAGAGCAGCAGGTGGCATATAAATTTTCAAAAGACTTTTAAAGGCATATTTTTGTAACAGCTTATATTTAGTTATTAAGCATTTTTTATTCTTAGCTGTATATCTTTAATTTTATAATTAAGTTTAAATTTGCCATTTTTAGCTCTCAACTTTGTCATTTTAAATCTTTATTGTAATATTAATTCTTCAAAATTGTTATATTTAGCTCTTTTAATTAAAAACAACTGGTGCATTGAGATTTTTTATGGTATGTGCCATGTAATAATAGTATATTATTATTATTATGTTCTTAGTTTATTTGATAATCTCTGCATTATAACCGAAAAACCAAAATTTATACAATGTTGGTTTATCCAGAAGTGAGCCTAGGCTAGGAAGATAAATATTTAAAAAATCAAATTTGTTTCGACATTTTATTCAGCAATTTTTGGCTGGCAAAAACAGAGTAGCTGTATTTTTGTGATAAAGTTAAAGCTTGAAACAATAAACGTCTGCCTTCCCACCAGTATTTTGGTTGATCCAGTCCATGTATCCAGATGTCAGGGCTCTGCTATACCCACAGCCAGGTCTAGAGTAACGGATAGGAAGATAAACTTTCCCGTCAGATGCCCAACCAAATGCACAGACACCAAGTCCGTCTTCCCATGCAGCGCGCAGTTGGGCTGGTGTTGCGATTTTGGCACCACGTTCAATGCATTCCTGTTTGGCTTGGTTAAATGAAAGCTTGTAATGACCTTCGGATGACTCAGCATGGAAAACTGGAACTTAAAAGAATAAAATTATAATTAGTAAATTCAATATAGGAAGATATGTAAATAAATTCCTAAAGTATAAGCAAATAATCGACCACGGCTCTAATATCTACATATATTGATTAAATCAAATTTTAATTTGAATTTTTAGTTGAGGATTGATTTAATTTACTGCAAATGAACTCCAAAACTTGTAAAAATTGAAAAAAAAAACATACATCAAGCACAGAGTTTCTTAATGTAAAAGGTTAGCGTTGAGAATACTGTTTTCAGAATAACTAAACATGATACTCAGCACAAGGAAAACTGTCAAAAAGGAGATCAAAACTGAATTTTTTTCCATATTAATTATTTTCATGTCCTTGATGAGTCCACTGCTGTAAAAATACCTACTGTGTTGTCTTCTTGCAATTTGATCCATCATTGACTTCAAAGTCTGCATTTGATGTTGGAGGTTTTGGATTTCTTTTTGGGTCAAACCCTTGAGGTCATCAATACTCTGCTTTATATCTTTAAGCTCTTGGATTTTTACAATGCCAGCAATTCCAGCAACGCCAGTTATCTGTAACCAGAGTGAGAAAAGTTGAAAATAATTATGTAAATTATATAGTTTTAGATTAATTAATTAATTAATTAATTAATTAATTAATTAATTAATTATATTTATCGTCTGTTATCTAATGGTAGGTTACGATTTTTGGCCTTTGAATCTATTTTTCACTAGAAAAAAATTAGAGATAAGTGGTAAGTTCTGTACACAATGACTTACCTGGTTAGCACCACCAGTGAAAAAGAAAGTTGCACTTGTTAGGAAGGCAGTTATGATAGTGCAAAAGCTAAATTTCCACAACATCCCGGAGAGTTGAGTCCAACTGCTTATTCTGTGATAGCAAGTAGTATCTGTTTAATTTTACTATGTGGTACATGCCTTTATAAGCGTTTCATGTGTAGTATTGGTTATATACCTAATGCTGGCAGACTGAAACCATTTCGATCTAAGTGACACCAAAGGAACTAATTTTAGTTATGTGTATGCCCTCTCAGTAATAATCCAAGCAAATTAAGTGGCTGAATATGGAAGTTGGATTTATTTAATGAGGTGTCACCTACTGCATGGGTGATTACAAAAATAACAGATACTGATACATATTTAATAGGTGTAGCACTTAAAGGGATCTCTCTGTGCTCTGTTTGAATTTTGTGTAAATGCACCTTTTTTGACTGCATCAAGTGGCATTGATTTTCACCAGCTAGTGAAAAAACAAGTTGTGGCTTTATCATTTATTTTCTTCCTAGAACTCAATCTGAGATTTTTTCATAAATCTAATTTAGAACTTGATAAGGTCACGCATAATAATTATAGATAATAATGGGAACGCAGTCAACTTTAAGTGTAATAGTAGACACTTTAAGCTAAGATTAAAGGGAAAGAATTGGATATTTCTGTACCAAAGAATATATACTATTCAAAAGAAGTTAGGGAACACTTCCAAAGGTAGACAATAAAAAAGAATGTTAACTGTTCAATAACTATGAAGGTAGTAATAATAATTGTCAACCATCCCTTCATTGAATTGTGCATTGTGTTTGAAATTTCCCATCAGTTATTATAATACAATTGAGCATAAAAAGGAAGGGGGGAAATTAAATTCACAGCTGCAAGAGTCTTTTCATGTGTATCTGCCTCTGGAAGCCACATATTAATGTCTGGATCTGGAGTCACTGCCTGACTAGAATTCCATTCTTGGATAAACCATTAAGCAAGCTTATTGAGATCTACTGGTGGAGGGTGGATTTCACTGAAATCATAGCTCTAAATGGTCCCATAAGGGTGTTTATCGGGCAAACAGGCAAACCAGCCCTTTCTGTGGATGTTCCTCTGCAGACAGAAATCTTAGGAAACCCTTGCACAATGAGGATGCATGTTGTCAACTTGTAGAATATTGCTCCATATGACCTATCCTACAGTGGCATGGCATTACCAGGTGCATCAGGATTTTATTCCCAGTGTAGAATCTGGTGAAATTACCATTAATAATGTAAAGGGGGGTGGGGGGGGGATGAAAACCCACCCCATACCATTACACTGCCATGGCACGTACACTTGATGTGCTTGCTGAAGGTTGCAACCATATGGACTCACCTGTGCACATGAGTGCCACTGTTGCTGGTCTAGGTAATCTTAACTCAGTTAAGGCTACTATTCACCATTCTTGATGTGTCCAGTGTCTGTGACTTGTTGTCAGTGCTACACCAGCTGATCTGTGTCTTGTCAGTAGGACTAGCTATAGCTGAACTGCTTCGAGTCTTGAAGAGAGGATATACTCCCTTAGACAGCTTCTAACAGTTTGGTTTTGATAAGTGTGAAGACCCTTCTGGGTTTTTCTGGCAGTGATAGTAATGTTCCGTTTGTGAAACAAATAACAAAGGTCCTGAGCTGGGGTTGTGACACAAGGTCAAACTGACCTGTGTCTGTTGGCTAACTCCCTGTTACTTTCAACCCCTGATTACTGCTAATGGATTACTAGAGGATTTGCACCTAGTCTTCTGGCAGTCTCTGGTCATCCAAAACCTCTATTTAATAAACTAGTATCCCTCTTTCCTCCAGTGACATTAACCATGGCATTAAGGTATAGCCTTTTTTATGCCGTATGTCATATTTTACTTACATCTGTTTTACCTGTTGTGGATAATTAAAATTTTCGTGTTGACCTTGCTGTTAAGCAGAATGTTTTATTGCCTCAGAATTGAGAGAAGCCTATTTTGTGTATCATCATTTTCTGTTTTTTGTCTGTACATTTGACAGCTTTGCTGCTTATTTGTTTGTTTTTTTTCAGCATACATTATTTTTAATACCCATAACACATTTCAAGGAAAACCACTTGCAGGAATGATTTTAATCTTTAGTAATATTAAAATATTACTAAAATTCAGGTTGAATTTGAAAATCAGTTTGACTATGCTGTTTTTTGTGTTTTTTTTCAGCATATTTTGAAAATTAAGTGCTCAATAACCCCCAAAGGAACTACGGGAAAAGTGGCATGTGGAGATTTCTAATATGACTTTTAGATTTAACCTTTGGCCAATTTTTCAAGGTCGGAGGGGCCAGAATTCTGTAAAAAATGTGTGAAAAAATTTGTTTGTGCTGATTTGCTTTGATATTATTGTGAGAAGTTACACTCTTTACAACTGAAACAGATGCATCCATAGCTACCATTTAACATGAATAAGCTCAATCTCTTTAAAATTTGGTGTTGATTCTGTACTCATGTAAAATTGCATCAAAATTGACAAAATGAGCTAATTTCTACATCATTATTTGCTTTTGTTAGTACATTTTACAGTTTTGCTGCTTGTTTTTTTTACCATTTAAAACTGAAATACAGAGAAATAATTCAAATGAAAATGAAACAGCAGCACCTAAAATTTACCTCACCAAGAATTTTGTGTTTTAAGTTTATCTGATTATGTCTACAGTAAAGCCAAAACTGTATATTATACAGTGTTGGTTTGTCCAGAAGTGAGGTTAGACTAAGCAAAATAAAATTTTAAATAATCATATCTGCTTCTACAATTTATTCACCAATTTTTGGCTGGCAGTATTTTCATGATAAAGTTACAGCTTGAAACAATAAACATCTGCCTTCCCACCAGCATTTTGGTCAATCCAGCCCTTGTATCCAGATGTCAGGGCTCTGCTACCCCCACAGCCAGGTCTAGGGTAACGGATAGGAAGGTAAATTTTCCCATCAGATGCCCAACCAAATGCACAGACATCCAGTCCGTCTTCCCATGCAGCCTGTAGTTGGGCTGGTGTTGCGATTTTGGCATTGCGGTCAATGCATGCCTGTTTGGCTTGGTCAAAGGACAATTTGTAACCACCTTCAGATGAATGAACATGGAAAACTGGAACTAAAAAGAATTAGTACTTTCAAGTTACTAGTAAAGAGAATTAGTAGATTCAGTAAAAGGAAGATGTGTAAATAAAATCCTAGTGTATAAACAGATGTATTCACATTTTGTCAAGGATATTTAACCTCTACATTTCAGATTTAGTCTTTCTAGACACATACACTTTGTACATGCAAGTGTACCGATATGTGCAAGTTGAATTGATTTAGTCAAAATAATTTGAATGTATAGGTGAGGATTTATTTAGTTTACTGCAAATTAACTCTAAAACTTGTAAAAAAGGGGAAAAATCAACTCCAAGCACAAAAAATCCAGCACAGAGTTTTTCAGTGTGAAAGAAAACTTTTTTCAGGACAAAAATCCATTTCGATACAATTTTTGGAACACAGTAACTGGCACAAAGAAAGAAAAGTGTCAAAAAGGAGATCAGAACTCAGATTTTTTTTTTTTTTTTTTTTTTTGCATCAATAATTTTATGTCCTTGATGTGTCAACTGCTGTAAAAATACCTACTGTGATGTCTTCTTGCATTTTGTTCCATCAGTGTCTTCAAAGCCTGCAGTTGTTCCCGAAGGTTTCGGACATCTTGTTGGGTGGAACCCTTGAGGTCATCAATACTCTGCTTTATATCTTTAAGCTCTTGGATTTCTACAATGCCAGCAATTCCAGCAACACCAGTAACCTGTAACCAGGGAGAAAAAGTTGCAAACTATGTTTAAGATGTATTTATTTATTTCTTTATCTGTCTGTCTGTCTGTCTGTAAGTCTGTTTATCTATTTATTTACTTATTTTGTGTGAATTATTGAATTTTTGTTTTGTAACTGAGCAGAAGCTTCTTATGAACTAGATTTTAAAATCAGGATATGAACTGAAAAGGATCTTTATCTGACTGTTGTCTCATCCTACATAGAAATTTTTGGTTATTGAGTTTACTTTTAAGACTTAATAATTAAAAAAATCTGTACACACTGACTAACCTGGTTAGCATCACAAGTAAAACCGAAATTGGCACTTGTCAGGAAGGCAGTCACTATAGTGCAAACACAAAATTTCAACAGCATCCTGCAGAGATGTTTTGCTTATTCTGTGATTGCAAGTCGAATCTGATGAGCAGTTATTTTGAGGTTAATGCTTTTATAAACACATTGTTGGTCATAGTTACACTTGACACTGAAAGGTTGAAACCGATTCAATCTAAATGATGTCCCAAGAACTAATTGTAAATAGGCAGTTGCCCTCTTATCAATAATCCAAGAAATTAAATTGGTTGAATATAGAAATGAATGTAGTTCATGAGATGTGACTGTCCACTTGATTACTATCAGATACTGATAGCATTTAGGGGGAACCTTCAGCAGTCTGTTGGAACTGTGTATAAATGCACCCTTTTTACCAAATCAGTTGTCATTTAGTTTCACCGACTGATGTAATTGCAAATTGCGGTCTTATTTCCTCTCAGAGCTTAAACCCGGATTTTTATTCTATGAACCTAATTTAGAACTTACTGTGGTCATGCTTATAGATAGTAACAGGAACACAGTCAACTTTGTTTCTAATAGCAGGCATTTCAGACAAAGATAACAGGAAGGGATTGGCTTTTTATGCCAAAGAATAGAATTTCTTTCTATACCAAAGAAAATATAATATTATATAAACCTCTAAAGAGCATATATTCCTAAAAATGCACTGTACAAATAAATAGCAACAAAATTTTAAAAATGTGATTTTCCCCAATTATTTATTTCTATATAACAGCATCTGTTCAGAGGGCCCATGCAGGAACTCTTACCTGATGTACATATTTCTCTATTTATTTTTATATATGAATAAATAATTATACATAAATAATTAAAAAAAATATCAGTAATAACAACAACTTTTATTTCCCTTCACAGACCCAAAAAGTGTCACTGGCATTGTTTTAGATGAAGTGGCTCATGCTATAGTTAACAGGGCATATGAAGACACTGGTTATTATAAGACAGCTGCCAAGATGTGCAAGATAATTACACAGGTAACTAGTGGTGTGCACCTCATACTCTTCAGTTCACTAGTCACTTTAAGTGGTAGCCCTCAGGAGAGTAACTGTCCAAATCTAAATTATTCATGTCTGAAGATGAAATTTACCATAATGAAAACAATTTTTTTCATTAGCCTATTTCGACTAGTCACTTTGAAAAAAAATTAATACTCCAATGTTATTTCTCATGGTCAGTTGCCTCAGATCAGTAGCTGTTGTCACAGACTGCTTAGACTTGTGTGCATGACACGACAAAAAGAGACAGACTTGGAAAAATATGACACCCATATGTTAAATTGTCTTTTTAGAAAAAGATTGACTTGAAAAGATAAGACACCCACAAGGTTATTTCTAAGAAGAGACAGACTTGGAAAGATAAGACACCTACATGTTTATTTTATAAGAAGGGAACAGACTTGGACAAAATATGACACTCGCATGACATTTCCATAATTTTAGAAAGAGACAGGCTTGGAAAAATATGATACCCACATGTTTATTTCTATCATTTTTGAAAGAGACAGAATGGGGAAAAATATGACACTCAAATTACATTTCCATAATTTTAGAAAGAGACAGAACTGGAAAAATATGACGTCATTCCCTGTAGCAGGTTCAGATATGCTGTGATAGACCACTGTCAAAGACTCTATGATGACCATGTCCAGATGAGAGAGACAAACAGAAGATTCTGGATGGAGTATGTCCATTTTCTGGCAGAACTGTACCACCAGATAAGAGATTCTTGTGGACGTGGAATCAGGGGGATATTTGATGTCCTGTATAAAGCTCTGATGGTTCTGAGCAGACCTCCTTGTATTTTTGAGCCAGATGAGGTAGGGAATTTTGTGACGAGAAGAGAAGTGGGGTGTTTTGATAAATTACTGTACTTGTTTTTTATGTACAGACACAGATGTGTCTGTACATATAGCCATCATCTGCGTCTGTCGTCGCCGTCGCCGTGCACTTTTACCGATAACACGATAAGTGGAAAACTGTTTTTTCTTTTGGCTTGAAACTTACAGAACTGATGAATATTCATAATACGCAGGTCAAGTTCGAAAATCAGCATGATCGGGTCACTTATAGGGAATTTATGCTGTTTTTC